CCTAAACCGTAAGCCCTAAACCCTCACAAAACTTAAGGGTGTTACAGGGGTTTTCAGGGTCTGAAAGTTGATGGGTTGATTGTTCAGTACTCGTAGCTTGGTTGTGAAGTGACCTAACCCCAAAACCCTACACCCGGANNAAACCCTGAACCCTAGACCCAAAAGCCCCAAAACCCTAAACCCTCGACCCACAAGCCCCCAAAACACTAAACCCTAGACCTAAAAGCCCAAAACCCTAAATCCTAGACCTAAACGCCCAAAGCCCTAAACCTAAAAGCCCAAAACCCTGAACCCCAAACCCCAAGCTTTCCTCATCCATGAAGAACGTGCCCATCAGGGTTTGGGGGTCCCTTCTTCGGAGCTTCCCGGGTTTAGGGTTTAGGGTTTAGGGTATAGGGTTTAGGGTTTAGGGTTTGAGGGGTTTAGGGTTTCAGGGTTTAGGGTTTCAGGGTTCAGGGGTTTGGGGTTTAGGGTTTCAGGGTTCAGGGTCTCAATCCCCCAATTCATTAATAGTACCCCCCCCCCTTTCGGCAGTCTCTGCATGGTTTTGCCGCATCGTAAAGCCGTATCTAGCCATGAAGGCCACCATATCGGACTCCAAAGCCGCCGCAGCATTTGCGAACTCAAAATCTCGACCCATGCAGCTCTTTGCCCCGCCTTTTCACGATGACGACCGCCGGGCGACCGTGCAATGTGCTGCAGTGGTTCGAGCAGGTGACGTAGGTTCAGTTCAGGGGTACGCACAGTAAATCAGCGCAGTGTGCTGCACTGGTTCGTACAGGGACTTGCTGTAAATTGGCGTAGACTGGATCTTCAGGAGGGTGGCAAACCCCACATCTTGAATCCCAAGCAAAGCGCGGCTCCAAGCCACCAAAACCCTAAACCCCAGAGCCCCGGAATCTCAGATCCCAAACTCCCCAAAGCCCTGATTAAGCCTCAAACCCTAAACCCTAAACCCTAAACCCCTAAACCCTAAACCCTAAACCCTAAACCCTGAACCCTAAACCCCTAAACCCCTAAACCCCTAAACCCCGAACCCAAGTTGCCATGGAGGTGCCTCAGCTGCTTTCAGAACACGGCTGGTGCACCGCCGTAAGAGGCAACAGCTCGGCTCTGGCCCACTGCGAGTGCCCATGGGGTGGAAAGCTGGTGCGGTGCCTTGGCTTTTCGGGGAGGGTTTCGGGTTTAGGGTTTCGGGTTTAGGGTTTAGGGTATAGGGTGTAGAGCTCCTCCTGTTGAGGCTCCTACTGTTGATGATATAAATCCTGCATTGCCTTAAGGACCCTGCCTATGGGAATTATGGTATATTCCTTATTGTGGGAATTCTGGTATATTCCTTATTGTGGATACTCAAGGACCCTGAACTATGGGAACTATGGTATAGTTTTTATTATGGGTAATGCAGGATTCTTGTCATCAACCGTCTGAAGGCCTCTTTCAGGGTTCCCAGACTGCTCGCTTTGAAGGCTGTTCCCGTTCGGGTTCCCTTAAGAGCTTTTTGCAAGGGTTCCTGTGAGTCTTCCCTGGATTCTGGGTTTTGGGACTTGGGGCTGTCTGGGTGTGTTCAAAGCGATGGGAGAGTGTTTCTAGGTGGCTATTTGGGACATTTCTTTGCCCTAAAAACCCTAAACCCTAAATACCCTAAATCCTAAACCCTAAACCCCTAAACCCTAAATTTTGGGTGGCCCTAGACCCTAAAGTCAAACCTGAACCCAAAGAAAGGCCTTGAAGCCTAAACCCTCAACCCTCAACCCTAAGTCCTAAAACCCCAACCCCCTAAACACCTAAACCCTTCAACCCCAAACCCTTGAACCCTTAAACCCCACGCCCTAAACCCCCAAACCCCAAACCCCTAACCCCTAAGCCCGTAAGCCCTAAACCCCTAAACCCTGCGGCCTTGAACCTCTAAACCCGAAGCCCTCCACCTACCCATGGGCTCCATCGTTGTTCGTTTTCGGGTTGCTATGTAGGATTCCATAAGGCAAGCCCCAAAAAGGAACTACTACTGGAGCCTTAAACCCTAAACCCTAAGCTTAAACCCTAAACCCTAAACCCTAAACCCCTAAACCCCTAAACCCGAAGACGTGCACCTCGAGCTCAGGTTTTGCTTCCGCGGCATTCCCATGCGAAACGTCCAGGAACCTGCTCGGTCACTCGTCAGGCCCGAGACGCGAGCCGAGCACGAGCCGCAAGCCCCTCTAGGCTTCTAGGCGACCTCTAGGGGGCTATTTGGGGGGCTCTTTTTTTTTTTTTGCAGTTTTGGGGGTTTAAGGGCTAGGGCATGAAGGCCTCTAAAGGCTCTAGAAAAGATCCATGAGTGCTTTAGAAGGCTTCGGGCTCTGCTAGATTCTAGATGCTTCAGTAGCACCCTTTTGCATATTTTGTTTCGGGTTTGTCCTAATTAAAGCTGAATAGTGGGAACAAGGCTACGGAAAAAATTCGGACGGGGGATTCTGGGAGATGCCTAGGCTTCGACTTGCTGCAGCAGTTGGCCCCGGGCGATGCAGTGCTGCAGCACCGGGCCTCTTGGAACCTCCTACAGCTCCTTAGATAGCCAATGGGAGAACTTTAAACCGTTTTGCCTTACATATTATGTCTATCCTAAACAGTTTGAACTTTTTGGGCCTGGTTGTTGAAGAAGAGAGGCTCTGCAGCCTGGTTTTTGGCGATGTGGGCATGCCTGCCTTCGTGCCGGCGAAGACCCCGATCACTTGCCGACAGAAGCTCTATCGGGCCTGTCCGGGCCCGGAAGACACGACCCTCATGTTCTCGACCATGAGCGGTCAGGCTTCGGATGCTTTCCTGAACATATGCATCTAGGGAAGTCTGCCTTGGCCTCGCATAGCAATTGAAGCAGGTGCTAGACGATGTGGGATCGTGAGAAGGTAGTAGTTAGCAGGCGCTGTTCGGATGGCGACGATGACTACGTGGATGATGTCGACATTGAGCAGGGCAGTGATGATACGACGATGCTGCTGCTGCTGCTGCTGCTGCTACTGCTGCTGATGATTGTGGTTATGGCATCGGCATCAGTTTGTTATTGCCGCTGCTGCGGACGGCACCGCCGCCTCCGCCGCCGCCGCTGCTGCTGCTGCTGTTGCTGTTGCTGTTGACAGTCGCGGTAATTACTCATGTCAATGACTCGGTGATGATGGTTGCGATCGTAATATTTTGGCGATGATGTGATGGTGCTGATGTTGATGGTGGGGATACAGCTGGTGAGCATGGTGATGACGCTGATGATGGTAGCCGTGGCGGTGATTGTGAGGTTGATGGCGCTGTTGATCTTCTTGTTGGTAATAGCGATGATGATGATGATGCTAATGATGATGATGCTGCTGATGATGATGATGATGCTGATGGTGACGGTGTTTATGATAGCATGATTGACGACACAGCAATTGGCAATTCTCTTTCCAAGTCGTGCTTCGTCAAACTGCCGCTCCTGTTTTGCCTGCGACGTGTTTTGCCGCTACAGTGTTGCGCATTTTGATGGTAAACCCTAAACCCTAAACCCCTAAACCCCTAAACCCCAAAACCCCTAAACCCTAAACCCCTAAACCATAAACCCTAAACCGGTGCCTGCCGCAGCGCGGTGCGTGTCCCGGGGTGCCAGTGGTGCTCCCGCCTCCGGTGCGCTTTTGGACTCATGGGAACCCTAAACCCAAAAACCAAAACCCTAAACCCTGCAAACCCACAACCCTCAGCCCTAAGCCCTAAACCCAAAACCCTAAAGCCTAAACCTTGTAACAGCCTCAGCCAGGCTCCTGGAATGGCCCTTAGATTATGTAATGTACGGCTTGGACTGCTAGGCGAGGCCCCATTTCTCCGTTTGGGGTCCTACGAGGCTTAGGGTTTAGGATTTAGGGGTTTAGGGGTTTAGGGATTAGAGTTTAGGCGTTTAGAGTTTAGGGTTTAGGGTTTAGGATTCCCAGAAGCGCACCCCAAGCACACTTGTGCACTCACCACAGCCCGGCTTTCGTAAGCCCCATTTCCTGCAGTAAACCCTGAAGCCCTCAACCCGAATCCGTAAACCCTAAAACTGAAAGGCTAAATAAACTCTAGCCCCAAACACGAAAACCCGAAACCTACCTGCATTCCCACATCCTAAACCTTAAACCCCAAACCCCAAACCCTGAGATACTCAAAGTTCCCAAAGGATGCGCTGTTGATTTGCCGCACGCGGGCTCCCGAAATGGTGGATCTGACAGCAGCCTTCAGTATGACGTCCTCCAGGCTTCTTCCTTGGGCTTTCACTCTCAGATAGGGGTAGTTCTTTTTTTTTCAGGTCCCCAACATACTACCCCAAACCCGAAACCCTAAACCCTAAACCCTAAGGTAGCCTTATGAAAAGGACCCCGAAAGGGACGCTAACTTGGAGAACTACCCATATATAGTCTGCCTGAATTATCAGAGGTTTAGGGTTTAGGGTCTAGGGTTTAGGGTTTAGGGTCTAGGGTTTAGGGTTTAGGGCTCAGGGTTGAGGGCTCAGGGTTCAGGGTTTAAAGCTCAGGGTTTCGGGTTTAGGGTTGAGGGAACCCTGTCCAGGTTTGATCAGTGGATGTCCACCCACCTCTGCATTTCGCTGGAATCTGCGCGGTGTAAAGCAACATGCTACTTCAACCGGCCCGGGCTTGCAGAGATGCGGGCCATTGACGCAAAGATGTATCGGGTGCTTGTGGTGAACAGCTGCAAAAGAGGGCCACCCCTGCTACCTCTGCCACCGGATTCCTCCGAAGAGCCTGCAGTGAGGGTGCGGACGGACGATGACCCGATACTGCTGGAGTCGTGGATCCGCATGCCTTCCGGCAAGTTCCATTTCGCAGCCTTCGTGAACCAGTTTACCAGAAATTTGCGCTTGGATCTCGAAGCCTTTGATACGCTCGACGGCCAGCGGCTGGTGCACTACCAGTGTGTGGTGAGGTCAGACAAGTGAAGCCCTAAACCCTAAACCCTAATGCCTTAAACCCCTAAACCCTAAACCCCTAAACCCTAAACCCCTAAACCCTAAATCCTAAGCCCTAAACCCCTAAACCCTTAAACCCCTAAACGCTTAAAGCCCTAAGAGGTCAGACAGGTGGGCCAGCGTCCAGGAGATGCTAGGTTCACCAGTAGTACCCTTTTGCCCTTTTTCTTTTTGGGTTCCCTCATTAAACCCAAATGGGAGTTTCCGAAAATAGGGGACCCTAATATACTACCCTAAATAGTAGGATCCCTATTATAAGGACCCCAAACTAAGGTACCCTAATTTTCGGAAAGTCCCAAATAGTAGGAAAAAGGGTACCCTTATTATTGAGGGGCTACTTGGAGGCCCAGGGGACTTAGTAAGTCGGTTATAAGTAGGGTCATAATTAGGGTAACTCCATTTAGGGTACTTATAACTCTACTTATAACCCACTTAACCCTAAACCCTAAACCCCTAAAGCCCTAAAGCCCTAAAGCCCTAAACCCTAAAACCCTTATTATTGAGGAAAAAGGGTACCCTTATCATTTAGGAAAAAGGGTACCCTTATTATTGAGGGGCTACTGGGGAACCTAGGATGTTCATGGCTGCCTTCAACGTGCAGCGGAGAGCCTATCGCCGCCTCAACGGCGGGTCCATCGCGCCGAGCTCCTTGCTACAATTATCCTAAGGTTCAGGGTTTAGGGTTTAGGGTTTAGGGTGTAGGGTTTTAGGGTGTAGGGTTTAGGGTTTAGGGTGTAGGGTTTAGGGTTTAGGGTTTAACTCCAAAGCCCTTTTCAAGAAGTTGTTAAGACCCCTAGACTAAAGCCCTTATGCAGCCCTTATTGTTATAGAACCCTCCATGAACCCGACTCACATTGTTGAAAGCCTCTTTATAGCAAAGCCCTGCCAGGTGTCTGTGCAGATGCCGAGCCACGGTTCGTGTTCGACGACAAGCTGGCTGAGCTGAGCCAGAACCTCACGCAGGAGGGACGCCGGGTTTAGGGTTTAGGGTTTAGGGGGTTTAGGGTTTAGGGTTAGGGTTTAGGGTTTACGGTTCAGCTGCAGTAAAATTTCACAACACTGAGCAGGATACCAAAAATAATTTGTCTGATGCCAGTATATCATAGCGAAGCTTGTTAGGGCAAACCCATCTGAACTCTACATCAACCCTACGCATAAGCACCTATAAACCCTGAGTGTTGTAAGCCTTATAATTAAGCCACGGTTTCAGGAGGAAGAGACATCAGCCCAGCACCACGTGAAGGTGCGCCGCACCTTCCTCGAGGTTGACGAAGACAGCGACAGTGACGATGAGGCGTTTCAGAGACCCAGTCGTCGCGCAAAGACAACTCCCCGGAATTGGCCCTCGTCGGACTCTGATGAGTCTGATGAGGCGTCAGAAGCTCAATGAGCTCTTCGTGCAGCGTTGTTATGTCTTCGTTTTTTGTTTGGGCTGAACTCGAGGGCTCTTGTAAAGTGAGAGTGCGTGGCCAGCGTGAGGCACAGAATTCATCAATCAGAAGCCGGGTCAAGACGAAGGTCATCGGCACGTTGGTGCCAGACCACCTGGGGGTTTAGGGTGCCTTTTGACTGTCATAAATGGGATACGTTCCGGAATCTTTTGCCCACAAACCTCCAGGCATGTTTCAAACTTGTCCTGATGTCCAATCCCTGCATGTGTCTTTTGCACTCTGGCATGGTCTTGAGTATCTGCCACTTGTGCCACCTGTACAGAAAGACAGTTTCCAAGGGGGTCGTTTCGCGCTCGTTTGCCATGATTTCAGCTCCTCACATGGGTCAAGCCCTGTGATTTTGCAAGCAGAACTCACTGCTTTATTTAGCCGTCTAGAACTGGGATCAAGTGGTCCCGGTTGGTTTTGGCACGGGAGGGGCAGTGCCTTGCACTAAGCAAGGCCTAAGGAACGGACCGGGATGAACCGGTCTCTGCTGCCCTTTTATTGTACAGCCTAGCCCGCATAAGTTCCGGTTTTGACAAGCTTCTTGTTCTCCAATACCCAGCCTGGAATCCTTTTCATTCTTTTGGGCTGGGGGGTTTGGGTTTACGATTTTGGTTTAGGCTTTGGGGTTTACAAGTTTAGACTGATGTTTGGTATCCCGCTGAAAGTTTTATCATTTGTTTCGTTGGGTATTGGAAGAGCAAGAGCTTTCGTCACTGTGCCACGACAGAGACCATCTTTTTCAAGGACAGGTGCTGTGAGCACGGCGCAAATGCTGCACACTTTAGCTTTACCCCTAACCTTGCACGTAGAAGCAGTAGTAGCAGCTGGTGGAACTACCTACTCCTGCTACTCCTTTTCCTACTCCTAAAATTACTCCTACAACTACAACTACAAGAACTACTGCAGCAGCAACAACAACAACAACTACAACTACAACTACAACTACAACTACAACTACAACTACAACTACAACTACAACTACAACTACAACTACAACAACCACAACTGCTGCTGCTGCTACTACTACTACTACTACTACTACCACTACGACGACGACGACGACTACTACTACTACTACGACGACTACTACTACTACTCCTGCTACTACTACTCCTGCTGCTGCTACTACTACTA